CTAGTCCAACTGCTCCTTGATCTCCGGAAAGTGGGTTTGACCTATTCTTTTGGAGGTGGGCAGTTGGCTGACGACGTGTCCCCGCGGAGGGGAGCACGTGGAAAACGTGCACCGGGCACGTTGTCCTCCCCGAGGAGGGGAGCTCGGGAGGTTCCCCGGAGGCAGGTTGTTCTCCCCGCGGAGGGGAACGCGAGGAGGTGGAGGAACCAAGGGTCTCGCTCGACGGACCGGGGTGTGCCCTGTTCGGCCGATAAGAGAGGACGTTGAGAAGCTGTCGGGCGCATCGCCTATCCCGGGGGGGGGGGGGGGGGGCGTGTGCCCTGCCCGTCCTATGGGACGCGTGTGCCCGGTTGGGCTGGTTTACTTACTGGGCCGTGCGTGGTATTGGGTTGGACCGAGGTTGGGCCCAGACCAGAACAAATCCTAAATACTGAGATTTGAAATAGGCAAACGACGTTCATTTCTAGTTACTATTTTATCTCTCCTATTTATTAACTTTGTTTCATTAAAATGATGAATTGGTACTGCATTTGAACTTTCAATTAGTATGTTGATGTGCTATTTTGTTTCAACCAAAGAAGTAGTACACAATTTCACAGTGTGTTGATAGTTAAACTTGTCTCTATTCAAGTTATTACTTTCCAACCACCCTCCACTTACTCTGTTCACAACCTCAACAACCACAGTGCTTGTAAAATAACCAAACGCAACACTGTCATTTCGGCTGAACTTTTCGGTGCTGCAGAAATAGCTGTAGTTAACTTTTCGGTGCTGCAGAAATAGCTGTAGTAAGTGATTTCATTCCAGCTGAACTTTCTGCGTAGAAAAACTCCCAATTATGTCATACTCAGCGACCCATACCCGCCACAACTACAAGCCTACTCTCCAAAGTACCAAACAACACTGAAAAATGTTTGTTGCTGTTAAAAACTCATCACCATGCTAAATGTTTGGTTGTTAAATGGAAGGCTGCCATTAGGGCAGTATGTGCATGTTAAATGTGTGTTGTGTTTGTATGTGTGTTGTGTTCATATAGCCAACAAGTGTTTGATGACAGAAAATCGTGTTTCACCGTGTTTAAGTCGTGTCTTAAGGCCATCGTGACTTGTAAAGAGACAAAATCTCTTAAGCAGCAGCAGCATTTTAAAGAAAAGATGTGTGTAGATGGTTCGAGTTATCGATACGATTTTGCAGAAGAAAATCAGTTTGTTTCTGAAACCATACAGTTAGAAGAGAAGTGGTACACTAGTCCAGAATCGATCGACGATGGAACTTGTACTTTTTCATCAAATGTTTATAGCCTTGGAGTTTTTCTCTTTGAGGTCAGAAAATACTTTATACATTTTTGTTGCTTTCATTAAGCACATTCAACTGTTATATTCATAATCTATTTGTTAACATTTTAGTGGATGCTTCTCACACTTGCTGTGCAATATTGAATCATTGGAAGCACATTCATCTGTGATGTTTGATATGCGGCATAGAATCTTACCGCCGAAGTTTCTATCACAAAATGCAAAGGAAGCTGGCTTTTGTCTATGGCTTCTGCATCCCGAACCTTCTTCTCGTCCCAATACAAGGTATAGTATGGTGTTATGCTTCTATTCGAATGATTGATGCGGTTTTTCTGTCTCATTGAATATGTAAGTCTGTTTTTATTTATAACAGGATGATTTTAGAATCTGAGTTTATATGCGAATTAGAGGAATCAAGTTCCGGAGATAATGTTATGGTATCAGAAGGCGATGTAGGTGACACCGAGGAGTTACTGAGTTTTCTAATTTCGGTTGAAGAAGAAAAGAAAAAACATGAAGCCAAATTGGCAGAAGAGTTAATTTTTTTGAATGAAGATATCAAGGAGGTAGAAAGAAATCATTCATATGAGACTGATACAGTATTTCCTTTGGCACAATTGAACTATCGAAACTTTCAAAATTCTTCCACAGATATCGGTCGATCTATTCCAAGGTCATTCCCCGATGAAGCAAGGTTTATGAGTACTATAAGTCAGCTAGAGAATAGTTACTTTTCCATGAGATTCCAAGGCCTGCTCAAGGAGGCTGCAACTGTTAAAACCAGCGATAAAACCGTGATGGAAAGTAGATGGTGATTGCCTCATTTAGAGAATGTTAGTAGTAATGATCCCAAGAGAGTTCAAGGCTCTATCGGTTGTTTAGGACCTTTCTTTGATGGTTTATGCAAATTCGCTCGTTACAGCAAGTTTGAAGAGCGCAGAACATGTTCAGAGAGAAATCATGAATCATAGATCATTGAAGCATTCTAATATCTTAGATTCAAAGAGGTTAGTTACTTTACTCAAGATCCTTTCTAGTTTGATTGAGAAGAGTTTGAAATACGCAATTTAAAATATGTTAAGAATTTTTAGAAGTAAATTGAGATTTGGGTTCTAAATTTTGAGTGTTGCGATTGCAGTCATTGCAGTTATTCCGATGGAAGCACCGCGCCACGAGTCAAGATTTGCGACTTTGGTTACTCAAAGGTAACATGTTTACAAAACATTACAAGTCTAGAATCTTTTTTCAAGTGATATTCATTTGTTTTTACCTTTTCCTTTAGTCATCTGTATTGCATTCGCAACCAAAGTCTACGGTAGGAACTCCGGCTTACATTGCACCCGAGGTCCTTACGAAGAAAGAATATGATGGAAAGGTGAGTCTTACTTTTTTCTTATGCATTTGGATAATGTTGAGTGTAATCGGACGCAATCAACCACATTAGATGGTTCAGATTCCAATGCAGAGTTTAATTTGCTAACTATATTTTCATTGAAAGATAACCATGTTTCTTCAGCAGTTTGGGATGGACAGGTGGGTGCATGCATTTTCCCTACCATTTGTAATTTTTGTTGAGTCGCGTTTCTCATTATTCATATTATTGAATATGATAATATATTTCATACCAAATTCACAGGAGCGCGGTGTTCTTAGATGCCATGAACACACTTCAATGCTTGATCAGTGGAAGCTCACACCTAAACAGATTAAGTTGGTTGAGAAGGCTGGTTTCGGTTACCTACGATTACTTCCTGCTATGAGTCTTGACAACGCACTGATAGCAGCTTTGGTTGAGAGGTGGAGGAGAGAAACAAATACTTTTCACTTAACCGTTGGAGAATTAATAATAACCCTGGAAGATGTAGCATTGTTACTTGGATTGGCTATTGATGGAGAACCCGTGATAGGACCAATAAGTGCACCCAGTGCAGCCTGTGAGAAACTACTAGGGAGAGTACCAGATGATTTGAATGGTGGAATGGTGAAGCTTACTTGGCTGAAGGAATTCTTTTCCGAGTGTCCTGAAGATGCATTACTGGAGGAAACTGAATGTTGTATGAACCAATCCAATATGGATAAAATTATAATTTTTAAAAGTTTTCAAATCTTTTTTAGTTAACAGTTTTATTGTCTGAGTTTCTTTAGAAATTTGAATCGTTTGCTCTAAAGTTTTAACAGCAAAATGAGAAAAAACATATATCTTACCAAATCTATAAATTTGATTAGAAGGAACTGAGGGTATAACCCATCTGTTGAGTTTATCCATATTTTTTGGATATTCAACTAATTCTTCATTGTTTATTAAATTATTTTGATGATTATCATCATCAGAATTCATAAAGCAACAGGCTAAGAATGTTGTGATTGGTTGATACGCAAAGTTAAATCTAAATAGATAACTTGGACTCATAACATAATGTTAACTGAAACAACAACTAATTAAAAGTCATCTAAGCAAACAACAAACTGTTTAACTATCAATTCGAAGGGATAAAAGGATTTCTCCCAAATTAAAGATGTCAAAATATTTTTAGCAAAAAAATTTTTTTTTTTGAAATCATCAACAACTCCCTTCCTTGAAAAAAAAAGATGAATGTGAGAGAAAACACTTTAAAAAGGTTGTTTGTTTGTTAATAAAATATTATGAGAAAAAATCACCTACTTAATTTTGTCTAAGCATAATCATCCTCTCACAACATTGGCTAAATTTTCATAATAAATTATGAAGAAAAAAAAATATACCTTAGATTTGGTAAATCCATATATATATATATATATATATATATATATATATATATATATATATATATATATATATATATATATATATATATATATATATATATATATATATATATATATATATATATATATATATATATATATATATATATATATATATATATATATATATATATATATATATATATATATATATATATATATATATATATTTCTGTTTATTTGATGGGCATGAAATCATAGTATGAGCCCTAAATTTTATTATATGTGATAATTCATTTAAAGAAAAAGTTAAAGGTTGACAATGTCGCCGCTATTAACATTGAGATAGGCAGTGACTAGAGATAAATGATGCACAGAGAGTGAGATAGTTTAGTGACAAGGACATGGTGGGAGGCACATACATTACCTGCGTGGTCCAGCAGCAGCACTATAAAAATTCGCAAAAGAAGATAGACAACCATGAATAGGATGATACTATATTCATTTCTTGTCAACGTCCTCCTACCCACAAGTTTCCTCAACGTGCTCTATTTCTTTATTTATTAATTCAAATAGTTTTGTAGTATAATTCATACACTAAATTAAAAAATAAAAACAAAAATATTGTGATGTCATATCTATTCCATTTTATGTATTTAAGTAAAATACAGAAATGGCACATATTGCTATGAGTTGGGGAGTAAAAATTTTGGACCTACCGCTGGCGACTTTAGGAGCACAAGTCCTTTTGCTACCATACACTCTTTTCACGCTCTATCGATCAACACGGTTATACCTTGGACCTTCATTCTTATTCAAATTCAAATTCCATTTATTCACACCTATTCATGCAAGTTTCTTTATAAGTAACCATAACACAAATCATTAATCTTCAATATTCATTTTAATCAACTATATATATCCACAATTTATTTTTATAATTATTACATGAATGTAAGTGTATTAATATATTAAAAAGAAATGGATCATCATCATCATCATGTTACCACTGGTCAAACTAAAACCCTAGCATCATCATCATCATCATTATCATCAACATCATCTTATACTTCAAGTGGTAATAATGATGATAACAACAAGAAGATGTACAGAGGTGTGAGAAAGCGGAAATGGGGAAAATGGGTGTCTGAAATAAGGCTACCAAATAGCCGTGAAAGAATATGGTTAGGATCATATGATTCACCTCAGAAAGCAGCGAGAGCGTTCGACGCTGCACTTTACTGTCTCCGTGGTCGTCATGCAAGTTTCAATTTCCCTGATTCACCTTCTCATTTGGATATCACTGCAGTTTCTAACGATCCACAACAGATTCGAGAGATTGCTGCTAATTTTGGCAACAAAAATCCACCCATTGTTATTTGTAGTAGTAATAATATTAATAATGGAAATGATAATACAGATCAATCCAAAATTGTGACTGAAATTATTGGCTCTTCAACTTCTACTACCAGTACCACTGCTATGGATGATAATGGGAACGCGATTGATTGGACATTTTTGAACGTGTTAGAGGATGGTTCGAGTAATGATGCTACTGAAAATTATGATGATTTTTTCTATTCTGAGTTAGAAAAGATACATTCGGATGAGTTATTGTATTACAGTTCACCACAACTTTTTGAGGAAGATAATAACCAGATGGAATTAGTAGAAGAGGATGGTTATGACCCTTTTTCTCATCAATCATTCCTTTGGAGCTGGAACTTCTGAATCTTGATTCTCCTGTCTAGCTATTTTTGCTAAATTTTAACTATTTATTTGCAACTATATAAATATATACAGTTGTTTTGTTTCTGAATTAATATGAATAAACTAGTACTCGCTGGCTGGTCGGTCAATCTTAGGCCACACACACATATAAATATTTAATAACAAGTGTCCCGGTTTTCTTTTGTCATATCATATGTAGATATCTATTTAGGGAATGGAATTAGTGATTTATTACCTTCATTACCACAGCCTACCTACCAACTAAGGGTCTATTTGAGAGTTTGGACACAAATGTTTGATACTCTCTCTCTCTCTCTCTCTCTCTCTCTCTCTCTCTCTCTCTCTCTCTCTCTCTCTCTCTCTCTCTCTCTCTCTCTCTCTCTCTCTCTCTCTCTCTCTCTCTCTCTCTCTCTCTCTCATATATTTATCACTCTTATATATTATAAATAAATTTTACTTTTTAAATATATTAAATAATTAATATATTTGATCATATTAATTATTCAATATATATAAAATAATATTTTTAAAAAAAAAATATTTAAAGAATAATTATAATATTAAAAAAATTTATATGAATAATACCGATCTTAAATTATAGAAATATTTGACTTTTATTTTAAATAAATCTAAAATAATGATTATGAATGATTGTGTAGAAAAATTTATTTGACTTTTATTTTAATTAAATTTGTGATAGATTGATTGTGTAAAAAAAATTTCAAAGTTAATTTCTTTATAATATTATATATTAACATATATATCATTTCAAAATTTTAAATTTTTAAATTTAAAAATACGTTAAGAAAAAGTATTTAAATCCTCCAAAGTCTTAGTCTCTTGTGTCAATGTAATCATTATTTGTCCTTGCCTGTTGTGTTTTAATAAAATTTTGGTTTTATTTAGAAAAACTACCCTTATTAAAATTAAAGTCATTTTTAAGACGTATAATGTAGATTGTCTCCTAGAGTTTAAAATTTGTCATAATTAAAGTATAATAAAATATATTCTTGAAAAATATTTATCATGATAAAATATAATTAAATAGATTTTATATTTATTTTAAAATGATTAATTAAAATTAATTTATACGCAACCTCAAAAAATTTAAGACAACTCTTTTGAAAAATTATAAACTAATTTGTAATTTGAAAGAAGATAAAAATTTGTAGTTAATTTAGCATTAAATTAGATATTTTTATACAATTAACTTTTATAAATGATACTTAGATGAAACATTAAAAGTATCGAAACAATATAATGTATAGTAAATGATAATATTCAATGTTAGATGAACTAATAAACTATTATGAGAAGTGATAAAGAATAAAAATGGATGTGGCTGCCATTAACGTTGGAATAGCTATTATTGAGAAAAAGGATGATGCACACAAAGAAAGAATGTGATATTTTAGGGAAACTCACGTAGAGAAAAGGATAGGGTGGGAGTGTGGGACGCACATGACTTGAGTGGTCCAGCAATACATTAAAAAATCGCAATATAAGAGAGACAACATGATATCTCATTGATTTGTTGTTAACAGGGTCCTACTATAACAATTTCCCCACGTGCTCTATAGTTTATTATTGGTTTATTGGAGATGCACAATATCGAATTTTTCACCCAAATAACCAACCTTACCCCCTTTAATATTCAAATTACCCAATTTTCTTTCATATTCTCCAATCTACCCAACTTTTGTATTTTTTTTTTTACAAGGGAGCGCCATGGAGTATGACTCCTCCCTTATAATTTATATGGGGGCGCCATCCAGGATGGAGGCACCCTATAAATTATAAAGGGGTGTTATCCCCTTTGCCTCCTCCTTTAAATGACTTAAAGGGGGCGCCATCCCCTATGGAGCTCCCTTTATACGAAAATAATTTTTGAAATATATTATAATTAATATAATTAAAATATTATATTATGTTATTCCAAAAATTTTTTTATAAATAGGTAGACTTGTTGTTAACATTGTTTCATCCAAATTTAGAAGAGTGAGTCATGTTCCTTAGAAGATATGGGCATGTAATGTTTTCACCAAAGAAGCCTCCGATAAGGATGTTGTTTTGGAACATCCAGAGTTTAGAACAACTACGAAGAAATTTGAATCGGTGGCTAGAAGGAGACATTCCAAATGGTGAAAGAATTAGGAGTATTGAAAGACTTGTCTCGTACTTCTCTGTTGAAGACGGAAACATACGGCGGGACTGGGTGCGAATTAGAGATGACAACGAAGTTAGGTCTATGATGTTCGGAACTGATGATATTACTTTGATTGTTGTTATATCTTAGGTTATGTTGTAATAATCGTTGTATTTTAATGATTTGCGTTGTTGCTGTAGAAGTAATTCAATTCGTTTTTGTGGTAATGAAAAGTTGATATAAATATTAAATTCCACGATTACACAAATTTTAAAGACCAAATTAAATCTACCTAGAACTTGTTCCAACATTTGGACAGTTTTTCCTCGTATGCCCGGGAAGACGACATATTCCGCACAATCTTTCCATTTTCTCAGCTGTATCCATTTCAGTTGTAATTCGGATGCTTTTGGGGCGGCCCTTTTTGTTTCTTCTCATATTTTCATTGTGGTAGATTGTGTCTCCATGATAGGTTGGCCAGTAGTCCTCACTAGCTACCACTGGAAAACTGCCACTGTAGATACCGAATAAGTTCACGACCTTGTAAACTTCTGATAGCTGCAAGAATGGATCCTGACGAGCAGTTGAACATGCGGCAATGACATGTGAACAAGGCATGCGGAAGGTTTGAAACTTTCCGCAGTCGCACCAATTTTTATGAAGTTCCACCCTGTAGTGTCCCATTGGCCGACCCTCATTGTGATCCATTGTCTCATCAACAATGAAGCTGTAATTGTGACGATCAAATGGTCTAACTCGATGTGAGGCCGCCTTAGAAGTTTCATCCCTCATATACTTCATGCTTGATTCGCTGAATATTTGCCCTGATTGTAGTACAGCGCTCCATTTTTTGCCTCTTGCTGCAAAAAGTGACCCCAATCTGTAATACGTTGCCCTTACCAACGTAGTGATGGGGAGGTTCCTAGTTCTCTTAAATACGCCGTTTAGGGATTCTACAAGATTTGTGGTCATGTGACCCCATCTACACCCTCCATCAAATGACCTAGTCCATTTCTCGACTGGAATATTATCCACCCACCTTAATGCTTCCACGCTTGACAACCTTATTTCTTCTCGGTAATACATGAACGATGGTTGGTTTAAGGCATACCCAGCGTTCACAACTTTTTTACGGAGATTTATGTCTTTAATTTCCTGCATAAAATTCTGAGCAATGTGTCTTATGCAGAAGACATGGACAGAAGGAGGGTTGTGCCAACCATTAGCAGGATTGTTGTAGGCGCTCACAATAGAAGCATGTCTGTCAGAAATCAGACATAAGTTGGGTTGAGGTGCGACATGTGTTCTGAGATTTCTGAGGAAGAAACTCCAAGCTTCGCCTGTCTCACCCTCGACCAGGGCAAAGGCAATCAGAAATATATTATTATTTCCGTCTTGTGCTACCGCCATCAACAATGTTCCTTTGTATTTTCCATACAACCATGTTCCATCGACTTGCATAACTGGTTTGCAGAACGCAAAACCTTTGATACATGGTTGAAATGCCCAAAAGAGACGAGAAAATATCCTACTTCCAGCAACACATGTTCCTTCAGGAGTGTATGCTGGTAGTGACTCCAATATTACAACCGTACTAGGAACATATGAAACTTTCTTATGGCTTTCATGCACTCCTCTTTTGTGCGGTACTGGCTTCCGACTTTCAAGACACTTTCAATTTGTTGAGAAGGATTGTAGAAATAATCTGAGGAAGTATCGTCTCCACTGAATTGCAAGTTCGTCATGTGTTGGGGAGGACAATACACTTGATTTAATGGTATGGCCTCTTCATCTATGTCTTGAAGGGGAGTCATTACAGTGTAGTCCCCGGTCCCGAACAAATTAACCATTTGATCAACCATGGCCTCTGGATCTTCTTCCTCCTCGTCCACAACATCAATTTCATCTATATCCGTTGTTTCGCCAACCTCATGTTCAGTTTGGCAGAGTAACAGATAAACCTCAATATAGTCGAACCTAGAGTGTTCATGATTATCGAGCATTTGATCAACATCGTTGTTGTCTTGTATTTTCTCTTGAAAATACTTGACCTGATTGTTGTAAAAAAAAAACAGGACTTCTGTAAATGATCTGGGAGATTTGACAAGACAAAATCTTCGACTGTATGCGCTCTTTGAAATGCACAAAATTTGCTTTTCTACTCATGGTTAATCGGGTAAGATCTGTATTTTGAAACCCAAAACCCGAATTCTCAGAGATGAAAGTCTCTCCATTATAATGGGCATGAACAATATAATTGGATGTTCTAGACATAGTTGAATGATAGTTTAAGGGATGTGTTAGGATACAATGAGATGTATACTATTTTGTCATGAATGTATACATATAAATGAAATGGCCACGAATTTAATATTATTAAAACATAAGGGAGGCGCCATGGGCTATGGCTCCCCTTCATTAATACATAAGGGGGGCGCCATGGGGTATGGCTCCCCTTCATTAAGATATAAGGGGGGCGCCGTGGGGTATGGCTCCCCTGTGACATGTGTAAGAAAGATCACTTTTTGCATGCATGCAAAATGACATGTGTACGGAATTTACTACACATCAATCTCTTTTCTACACAAATTCATCTATCTCATTAACTTCTCTACACATCAATCAATATTTCAACTACACAAATTTAATTTTTACCTCTACAACCATACATTCAAATTTCAAATTCAAAATTTTTACTATAAATACTACTCCTCCTCATTCCAAAAAACACATCAAATATATCCAACAATTCAACTTCTCCCATATATTTCCCTCATATATCCACACTATAGAAGTCATGTCTCTGTTAACATTGGGTGAAACGCATAGAGGAACACCAAGCAACATCGCGTCT